TCCTTCTACTACTTCTACTATTTAGCTGTGGAGGTCATCTGACGTGTCCTACGTTTTCTGGATTTTTCGACCCTTGTGAGGCCTCCCCAGCTTGGTTGCGTAGTCCATCTGCGTTCTAGTGCACAACATGCAGATTGTGCGCGAGTGTGGCGTCCGAATGCAATCTGTTTCCTGCATCCTTAAAGATCCTCTGACGCTTGAACTTGCCTTTCATGTACCTTCAAGTTTTAGCCATGGCACTCTCTACATCTCACTCACCTAGTTATTGGGCTGGCTGACCCGGTTCATGTCCGATCGCCGAAGCACTCTCGAGTGCTGCGCGGCCAAATACACTGATTTCTAAAAATGTCCAACTTTATGATGTCGGACCGGATATGTTTTTGGCAATCGTGAACTCGTGACAACTCGCAATCCACGCAGTTTCGTCGATGCGTGGAAGCTCGTGGTGTTTTCTGAAGATTTGGGCCCGCAGCCTTAAACGAGCCACATAGCCAGCGTTCCTCGCAACAACAGCCCTGCACCAACCTTGTTTCTCCTGCGGGGCAACATGCGCCCCAAGGTGCTCTGACAGCACGTGCCTGCTCGAACAGCCCAGCTTGCTTCTTCGCCTCCTCGCACGCCAGACTCAAACGCGTATTGCACGAAGGCTACAGAACTTGGATCTGCAAGAGTCTGGCCTTGTATTCTGGCTATTGTCCAGAGATGGCCTTTCAAGTCTCTCAAAGTCTGTCCGTTAACCATAATAAGCCCTCCAGTTTCCAACCGAAATTTCCATTTACAACAATCTTAGTTTCCACAATACAGATCCAGAATGAGCAAGCAACTTCTTGGCTCTGGAGCAATGGCGTGGGAAGATCCTGTTGAAGCAAATGCTTGGTGAGAACAGTTTGTGCTTTGTGGGCAAGTGTCGCGCAAAAGATTTCTCGTGCCTTGTGGAGAGAGAAAAGTTTTGGTTCTTGGCTTGCTGACGGTTGCGGGCTGAGGCAGAAGGCGAATTCAAGCTCCAGTCCCATCCCGCGTGAGTTCTTAAGGGTTTAGAATGGCACGCGCACACACCTGCCGCAACACTGGCATTAATGATGCCTGTGAAAAAAAGACCATTTCCCATGCTCTTGAGAGGTGCGGTAAAACCCGTCTTGGGTTATTCCTACAACTGGAAGAAACACTCCATCGCTGGAATGACTTAAATGTGGAATGACCACAGAAGTCTTAATTTACAAGGTGTTTAGCCAATACCGCCTCCATGTCTGCGGGCTGCTCACAAAGCCAGCCCGGCCCTTCAAGCAAAGGGTGTGTTCCAGGCAGAAGCTTGTGAAAAATATTCTCGGCATGTTCCGGACCTGGGTATTTTCCAGCAGCAGCCTGGTTTCAGCCCTGGGCTGTTTCCCCAATTCATGCTTCCACGCTTCTTTTGTTTTTTGTGTTTATAGCCAGGTGGAATTCCAAAAAAAAAAAAAAAAACAAAACACAACAAGATTCCAGGAAGTTAGAATTTAAATAAATTTCTCTCTTTCTCTCGGAAGCTTAAGAGAGAGGCTTCAGGGAGAGCTTAAGAGAGGGGCGGGGAGCTTAGGGGGGGGGGGCAAAAGGGCTTTAAACCTTTCCCTCCCCCAAAGAAACCCCCTTTCTACCTAGCTCGGTTGAATCCAAGTTGGAACCCAAATTTAAACCCAGGTTTCGAATCTCTGTGCGCCAACTGCAATTCGACGGTGTTAAATCAAGCTTCAAAGGCCGTTAGAAGGTTTACCGAAGAAAGTTCAGTCACAAGATTGCAGCTAAATGTCAGACTCAAAGTTTAAGCTGAAACAAATGAAACAAATTTGTCATTGCAACATGCATCCCTTCAAGGAGGGAGTGAAAGCTTGTATGCAGGAACCTGAGCACTCGGACGGAGAATGCTTCGATGACATTTGATGTGGAACCACAGTCTTGTGTCCAAAGGGTTAGATCAGGTGATTGCTGAGTATTGGCAGTAATTATTTCGTGGCCTGCTGCTGTGATGTCAATTGGCGAATGTGAGGGATAGAAATTATGTCATTTCAATGAAGAAGCAACGCACTATGGCACGCAAACTTGCGAATGTCTAGATGGACGGCTCTATGTTGTGCGCTTTATGGACCGACTTGCGTGTGAGTTCTAGAGAATGAAGCGTTGTTTGACCCCACATCTGCTCTTGCGCTGGACCTTGGAGCGCAAGTTCATTTGTGGCTTGTTGAGGATACGTTTCACGCTTAGTTGCAATAAATTGTGGGATTCTCTTTTATGTAGTGTTCGGTTGTTGTGTTTTGTTTTTCTGTTGCATGTCGTTGCAGAGAGTGCATCTCTCTCACACGTGTTTGCGAGTCAGTGCGTGTTCCACTCCTTTTATAACATGCCACATGCCTTGTTGAACCCATCTGCGAGAGAGTCCTGTTGCAATGTACTATGGGACAGCACGCAGACAGTGATCTTCAAATATTCCGTGCGACCATTCTGCTCAATCTATTCAAAGGAGGGGTCTAGAAGGGTCGTGTTTGGCGCAATTGTGGAAAATCGTGTTTTGCTTGTCTCGTCGCAGCAGGGGTGCCGCCTGCTTTTATTGCGGGAAAGTATCGCAATATTGATTCCACACATTTTTTGTGGGAGCTTGTGCAGAAAAGGAAACGGAGGTTGTGTTTCACGACCTCGACGTTTGTACTTCTTTCAGCTTGTTCCCGCGAATCTTTTGGAAACGGTCATTGAGAAACAAAAGAAAAACAGCTACACAGCCACAACAAAAGATCGAACCATTAACACGAAACTCCAGTAGAGCTGTCTTCGTTTCTTTGGGGTTCCACACGGAAAAAAACTCAAATACTTCGCCGGACGAATAGAATCGAAAGGGCTTGCAAAAAGGCGGTTGCCTGAAAGGAGTGCTTTCACATTTTCTGTTTTGTCCGTGCAGTAGTGGGTACTGCCAGCAGACGAGTAAGACTCGAATGTCAAAAGCCTGTATGAAAAACGGTCGTGCCGTCGCTGACTGGCGGCAGTACGCAACAGAGATGCCCTTGCTCTACGCACACTTTCTCCACGTTCGACGTCATGAGTACATGGTATTTTCTTTTGTTGAAGTGCATGTTGCCAGGCTGACAGGTGCCTACCCGTGGAATGACGGATTCGCCACACTTATCAAAGTTCGTGTTTTGTTCCGTGCAAATGTGGCGTTGCCTGCAAATGCAAAATCCTGCGTGCATGGTACAACAATGAACTTGAGCCTGAGCAGCCTCGAGAAAATCCTGATTCTGGCTAATTCTGCAGCGCGTTGCGGTCCTCGCGATTCAGTTCTGTAAAGTCTGTAAATGTGTTAGTTGAGCATGGGCCATACAAGCGTCATGTGGTAAAGTCATGCTATTGTAGGTGACACGACCACATGCTCTTTTGCCATGTCGCTGTTGGCATCCGAAACCCATGCGAAGGTGGCGTGGTGACAGTCGTTTAGTTGTTGGTTGCCAGCTTTTGGTACGAATGGATAGATGAGTAGAGCATTGCATAGTGATGATGTAACTGTGAAACGGCACGGGAAGGCCGCATATTTGAGCATTACGAGCTGTTGTTTGCAATCCAGGTTTCGGCCGTTCAGAGCTCGTTGCTGGCTGTCCTTGCCTCAGTACATGAAGCCATTCGTTCCGCAACTGCCAAGTTTCAGATACACAGGTCGAGACTCATTTGGCCCCACTTCTTGCCAAGAATCCGAAGGAGGCCGAGCATTCCTTCGCAAAGAGCACGTTGACAACCGTGAGTAGTGTACTTGTTCAATGTCGCCCCTAAGCCCTAACCTGCACCTCAAGAAATGTAAGAAATGTAGAGTATGATCTTGGTATGTTTGCGTGCGGGCATCGAGACTTGAAGGTTGCCCGTCATCTGGCCGCTTTGGAGAATGCTGAACTTCAGGCGATGTTCAGACAACTTGCTTTCAATTTTTTCCAGAAAGGTTAGGCCATATGTGTCCGCATAAAACATCTGCATCTGCATCGTTGCTACATGTCTGTCATGCCTGAGCACTGTGGCCGGCCGGATCTTTTTTGTCATGTTTGTTGAAGGTGAGCCTGGCATACGCTGCGGCTTCGCTGTATTTCTGCCACCTCCTCACGCAAGGAACATTAGACGTTTTGGCAAGCATTTGGTCTGGCTCTAAATTCCTGACAAATCTTCCTTGGCAGGAGTTGATCCGAGTGACCACCCGATACGGCAGGACCTTTTGCCGCAGGCTTGTGGCCGTTGCGGCTTCGTATCCGCATGCTGCCGCTCTTCGAGGAGCTAGATCGAATCCAGCTCTACTTCAAGAAGGTTCGAACAGCTGCAGACGAGGCAGCGTACCACATGATATCAATGATAATGCACAAGTCTTGTCAAGCACCCCAGGCTGTTGAGAAGGAAGCATCCCGCGACCGAATCAGGGTTGATGTCGATGTTCTGTCCTTAGAAGCAGCTTGAGCAGCAGCGTGGATCACATTGGTGGTTCAAGTGGTGCGAGCTCACGACAATCAGCGTCAGGCAGCGCACCCTTTATGCAGGTGTTACTCCATCTTTGTGTTCCGTCAGAGAATGGCTAAAGGGCTGTCTCACGTCATTTTCGTCCTGTTTCTTTCAGTTCAGTGAGCTACACCAAGACCAAGGCAGCGAAGCGAATCGTCCATCATTTCGCACACGCGGCAGAGGCAGCGGCTTTGTACGGTGGGCCATCTGGACAATGCGCTCTGACGCACTTTGCTTGCAGATGTCGGCAGGCATCCGTCCAACGTCGTGTCGAGGCGGCTGCTGCTCGAGTTGAACCATTGCCGAAGCAGGCGGCGAGTGGTCTCTGGAACGTGCTACAGCTTTGGCACTACGGTTCAGCACTGACTCAGACCGAGAGATGGTTTAGGAAGGATTGTTGGCCTGACGCCCATCAACGCCGTGGAGATTGGTCTGTAAACGAGCTTTTGTTTTGAGCATATGCGAAGGTTCACACGGCAAATGCAAACGACGCCGCTGATGCGCCGAAGACGCCAAAGCAAACCTCCGGCGAGGCCGTGGTGAGGGTGCAGCACGTTGAGGATACGTGAGATATGATGAGCCTTTCATCTGGTTGATGTTCAGCCATGTCGTTGGGTCTTGAGCGCAGGAGGTGAAGCCGCCGATCAAGAAGGCGGTGCGCAAAAAGATAAAGGGCAAGGCCACTGCCGACACGTGTGGAGTGGATTCCCGAGCCCTAAACGTCTTCAACATCCCCAGGCCCTAAACCCATGTTTGAGGTTTCAGCTGGGGCTGAGCAACCTGTCAGGCTCGCCCTTCTTGAGAAGCAATGGTTCTCGACATCTAATCCGCGGAGATGCGAGACGTCAAAAGCATAGCAAAGCCTGAAGCCGTTGGGCGTTCTGTAGCACGACTATAACGGAGGGCTTGACACAGATTCGCATGCTGCTGGCCGCATTTTCTTGCGAGCTTCGTTCTTGTGCCTACATCTGGTCGTGGTAGTGCTCGGCCGATCTGGTTCATGGATGTCCTTCCAAGCCCTGTATGGGGTGCAGTGCACTCTGTGGCCATCCCGGGCTCCAGCCTTCATCATTCAGTCATCATGGCCACGGCTACTATGTCGCTGCCGCCCTCTCATGCTCATCCGGCTACGAGGATGCTACTGTTGCGATGCAAAGGGACATCACTTGTAGGCAATTCGCGCAAAGGAAGCAAACCGGCTTTGGAAAGCAGGCCCATTTGCAGAATCTGTGCAGGATCTTTGTGGATAGCCAGCCGCGCCCATGTCTCAGCTCCTAGCCATCGGTGCATATTGGCTGTCAAAGCCTCTGTCAACAAAGCCAGGGGGGGTAAAGATCGAGAGAGCGTGTGTCTGTGTGTGTGTGTGGATATACTACAGACCGTTGACGGTGTTCGCGCCTCTGCATGCGAAGTTTTCTTCCCCTCAAGCCCAGAAAGAGAGAGAGAGAGAGAGAGAGAGTGGAGAGACAGAGAGAGATAGAGAGAGAGAGGTCCATCTAACACGGAGGACTGACTTTTCACAACTGGACGGAGCAGTGGGCCAGCGCGGCCGGGGTCCCCTCTCGGGGGCCTCTTCGCTGAGTAGAAGAAGAAGAAGAAGAAGAAGAAGAAGAAGAAGAAGAAGAAGAAGAAGAAGAAGAAGAAGAAGAAGAAGAGGAGAGAGAAAGAGTGAGTGAGTGCGAAAAAAAGCGAGAGAGCGAGAGAGCGAGAGAGAGAGAGAGACAGAGAGCGAGAGAGAGAGAGAGAGAAGCGGGCCGTCGTGGCCGGGGTCTGGGCCCATTCGCTGGGTAGAAGAAGAATAAGAAGAAGAAGAGAGCGACAAAAATTGGCTCAATTCAGAACCTGCCCCCGGCTCGAGCCTGCGGCTGCAATCCGTTTGCTCAGAACGTTCAGGAAGGAAGGGAGGGAGTGTGAAGAGCTGGTGGGAAGAGGGAGCGCAGGGTATTGGACAAACTTCGAACACAGGCGGTCACTCAAAGGACTGTTGACGACAAAGGGGAAAGGGGCATGGTAAGATGGTTGGAGGGTTTTCGTTGGTGTTCTGATTGCCTTCAATGCCTCAGGTGTGGCCCACAGAGGGTCGTATGTGGTCAACCCCGCATGCAGGCGGGGCCGGGGCACAGATGACGATGAAACATGCGCGAGAGCTGACTCTCCACCTTGGCCAGCCTGTGACACGTGCAATCAGTGAGGCATTCTGTGCAAGGAGGTGCTGTTTGGAGTGCTTTCAGGCATGTTTGGCCATGTGCCTGGCACACCGCCTTAGGAGGCATGTTCAAGTAGTTTGTGCGTAAGCTTTCTTACTAATTGTGGGGAGGTTGTCCCTTGACAAAGAGGACTCTGGGAGACGGTGAGACAGACTGGAGATAGATTGGTAGGAGACAAATGCGAAGACATGGCGAGAAAGTGGGTGCGAGATGTGTGCCCCAAAGAAACAGGCAAATCTGCGCGCGAGTGGAACACGTAAGTGCGGAGGTCATTTCAACATTCGCCGGTAGGTGCCCTCATTCAATGAAGCCAGGTGTTCACCAAGACACATTGAACAACATCTTCAAGCGCGCAAAACGAAGGTTGGGTGGGTTGCATGCACCAGAACAGCCTTGGCAGGCCGGTCACGAGCGTGGCAGCAGAGAGTGGCAGGCCACGCAGCAACCGCCTGCCCGGACGTGCTAGAAGTGCTGCTAAGCAGGCCTCCTCCTCCTGCTGTCAATGAGAGCCACAGGCTCTCATGCAGTGCTGAAGCGCTTCTGCAGTATTTGATCGGACGAACACATGCGCATCAATTTCGCGAGTTTACGTTTGGGTTGCAGGTTGCTGGCAACCCCTTCATTGGGAAGCAGGAGCGGTGGGTGAGGAGTTGCAGGGTGGGTTTTTTCTACTTTTTGGGAGCGGAGTCCCGCCCGAAGGCCAATCGAGCCGCAGAACGCGAGGCGGCGTGGCTCACGTTTTTGCAGTCTTCGTGAAAACCTCGTGAAAAGCATTTGAAGAAGCCTCTCTTGTTTGGTCATGGACTTGTGCAGCACTTGCGCCCGTATTGTGTCTGGTCGAGCCAGGGAAGTTGGTCCCTCCAAAAGCCTTGCCCTGAGCATTCTGAGCTCCGCAAATGGTGCAGGGTCAGTTTTGTGGTCCATCAGCAAACCAAGCTATCCGACGCCGCTGCTTTTGGAGCATCGCCCGGCAGAGGTTCTTACCCTCGCGTGTCTTACCGCTCTACGACGCATGGTCAATGGATAAATGCGCGAGTCGTGGCCTGATGATGGGTGCTGTCACGATCAAGTCATCAAGTAGGTCTACGCAAGTTGTCCCGTCTCAACCTTCGAGTTGCAACGCAGCCTGAACATCCATGAATACAATGTCGCTGAGAGCTTCAGGTGGTCGCAGCCGATCCGCAAATAGGGGCCGTGCAGATCGACAAGAAGCCAGGCCTTGCGGCCTTGCCTTCAACTCCTTCGGCTCATAGTTTTTTTGCGTCTCGCAGGAATATGGATACCAGCCGAAGATTCTCGAATAAGGACCTCTTCTTGTCATCTATGGCTTGGCACAACAAGGGCGGAAGTTGATGTAGGATCGGCCATAGTGCATCCTTCCAAGCTGCCAAGGAGGCCAGCATAGGGAGCATGTCAATTCCACATAGGTGCAGCCATCATCGGTACCAAAGTTATATTTCACAGCGACAAGAGCGACGTGCGATGTCCTCCGTTGGTGTGACGCCTTGGGTTGTGAGCAGCACGAAGCATCGCGAAGCTTCGGCAGGCACGGATTGTGACCCTGCCGGTGCCGAGTGTGGCGTCGTCGGTGCAGAACACGGACCCTCCGAAGGAGGCACATCCTGAGCAGCTCCTCCACTGTCCTACACGCACCCCCCCTGCTGCAGCAGATGCTGAGTTCCAGAATGTTGCAAGCCACATTTCTATCTGTTCGGAGGCCTCGGTGGCCAGCACCAACGGCATGTCCCGTGTAGTTCAGCCAGAAGCCAAGTCTGCCCGAGCCCCAGAACTTTCTGAGCACGTTCTGCACACCAGACCGGCCCAAATTAAAGTTCCTTAGGTCGTTGTGCGGCTCTGCCTGTTTGATGTGTTTTTTTGTTTGTAAATTTGGCTACGAATTTATATATGCATGTTGTATGTATGTATGTACGTATGTATGTATGTATACATGCATGTATGTACGCATGATCACGGGTGCGGGCCCTGTGTTGGAGGGTTTCATCTTCTTCGTGTTCCAAAAGTGCCGACAGTTACGAGGATAACGAGGATGGGGCCCCTGGGCTTCTCCTGTCGTCACTGAACCCTAAGCCTGAAACCCTCAGACCTTCAGGAAACCCGACACCCTAAAACCCTGAACCCAAAACCCCCACACCACCGGGAAAGGGGGGGGGTGGGCGGGAGGGGGAAACTACGGGAGTGGTGGTACCAACCCTGGACCCTACGTACATCGCCCCGACCCAATGTGACCTCGACTGTGAAGCTAAAACGCAATCCGTAAATTTTATGAGGGCGACCTTTAACATGTACATGTGCTTACGAATATGACGAACTCCAATGTCTATGTGCCTTAAACTATCCATGTGCATATAGGTTTCCAGTGCAAGACATATAGCTGAAACTCTTAGTGTGTATGGCACACATGATGCAAATCATTGTCCCACATGCCATAGCAAGTTATTCAGCATGATTCAGTCCACCTGATAGGTCAACATCGTACAAAATACAGTGAAGCAAGTATGAGAGCCTTCAACCCCGAATAGAATCGCAGTAACGTCCCAACGACCCGAGAAAGGAACGCAAGTGCTTTGCAAGTGAAAACCCTGCTATATTCGAGTCTGGTTCAATCACTGAAAAGCATTTTGAGGGTTGAGCCGAAGTAAGTCGGGATTTGTAATGAACAGAGAACTTATTCAAACATGAACCATTCTAGGACGCTAGAAGCCGCGTGTTGAACCACATTAGACAAATTGAGCAGCGTTAGCTTCCGACAGCAAGCTTTTCACTTTTCTGACCGTTAGTATCGTACAGCATTGTGTTGCCCATCTGTGAGATTTTAGTAGACCTGTGGGAATCTCATCAACGTCCTCACTACTCCAATGATCTGCAAAAGCATTTCGATAGGATCATGCCGAAGCCCTTGTTCCCTATCCATTTTGTGGCCGCGAGTAAAGTATTTCTTTAGTTAGCACGAGCTGCAAGATCCCAAGCGTTATGTGTGCTTTGTTGGAATTATAGAGGCGTTCTTTTTGTGCAGAACACAATCTAAAAAACCCAGATTCCAGAAGCCCGAAGTTCTAAGACAAATCAAGCTTCCAAAGTTTTCGGACTTGGGTTTTTGGGGATTGGGGATTTCGGGGTGGAGGCCCCTCTCTCGCTCTCGCTCTCGCTCTCGCTCTCTCTCCACAGGAACTGTGCATTGCACTATGAATCAAATGGGGTTGCCAGTATGTATAACAGCTACCCACCAAGTCCAAAGTTTTCTCGGAGAAGCTCTCCGGCGTGGTTTGGATCTTTTGATTGTCGGGTCTCTCTAGTAAAATCGGCTTTGCTTTACAGGTAGCTTTTGGTTTATCCTCGGCAGACTGGGCCTTTCTTTGCACCAATCGAGAATCAGAAAGTCCGAGCTTCGCTGGAGCTTCTTCCAGAACAGCTTGGAGTTTTAGGGTTTTGGGTTTAGGGATATAAACCCCCAAATAGTAGCATTCCCCCTTAGAATTGGGGTTTAGGGTTTAGGGTTTAGGGGTTTCGGGATATAGTAGAATTCCCTTAGAATAAAGAAGGTCTTGTGATTTCGAGTTTTGGATGTTCGGGCTTCTGGCGTTCGCGGTTGGTCCACTGCGAGGGGGGGAGGCGGTGAACATATGTGTCTAACAAAAAATACAAGCTGCCATTAAACATATACCGCGTGAAGTGCATACCATAGATACATGCATCGATGGAAAGCATGGAGAAAACTGACTCCGAGCCATTTGCAAGGCTGTGAGATTCCCGGCACCTCGGATTCTTGGTGGCGTGAACGGCGTGAGCCAAGACAAAGCATATCCGCCGACCGAGGCTGTTGTTTCATGTGATGATTTTTGTTCACTTTAACACATGCTGAGTTCCACTACTGGGCAGGATCTGTCTGGCCATCCGCCCCAGCCGGCAGGTTGGGCCCTAGCGGACCTGTCAGCCGCAGGAAACTAAAGGGGCAGCGGTGGCCCTGTGGCAGGTGCGGTGCCTAGTGAGGCACCCAAGGTGATCATCGGTGGGCTTACCTACCCTGATAGCCATTGCCCCTCCACGCCCGGGCCGCAGAGCGCGCCAACACGATGCAACATGAATCCTGCTCAGACACCCAACCATCTGTCGGAGACTTCGGCATAAACCCTTTTCAGGTCTTCCTCTTCGCCGCGGAAGACGTCGAAGTCCTCACCGCAGCGTGCAGGGGCCCTGAACTCTTGGGCGATCTTAAGCTCTTGACCACTGACTTTCCAGAAAGTACTGTGCGAGGCTCGAATCATCGTGCACACTGCTGCAGAGGTCGACAGGGAGGGGTAGGTAATCGCAGCACATGCCAGGTAGACGGTCGTGCGGTCACCTGAACACGAGGAATTCAGAAAATCATGGAGTTGCTTGTGGTCATTGTGCAGCCAAATTTTAGGGTCTCCTTCATCTGCTGCCAGTCAAGCTCCCTGAGGAAAGCCCCAGTCCAGAGCGAACACCGCAGGCAGGTATCGGTTTTTGCTTGTGGTCCAACTCAGCAGCCGTACCTTCTGGAGACTAATGTGGCGTTGTGGCGTTCGACAGCTTGGGTTGTCACTTGATGTGGCTTGTCATAGCTTGTCTGTGCTGTCGAAGCTCCGTGCTTGTTTGACTCGGATGTATCATTGCTTGTCAAGGACCTCTGCAAATTCCCTCTTGCGCTGTATTGAAGCTGTGACAATCTGCCAGCAATTGGCCCAGGGCAAATCCTGGTTCAAATGCCCGGAATGTGGCACAATGGTGGCGAGCATTGAGGAGGTGAGACCACGCATGTGAGTTTCTTTGTATGTCGGTAGCCATAAAAGGGGTATGTGCCGTTCAGTGTGTTCAGTAGTGGCTAGGCTCACTCTAACGTTTTGTTTGTTGCTTTGAGAGCAGTGCGAGTACTGGCTGTGAGGCAGTTGTCCATTGCGAAGCGACCACAAGCCCCCTCAGAGGCCAGTGTTGCTGCGAGGTGTGTGCGTTTGATCATTCTTGATCTTTGCTTTGGAGACTCCAGGATGTATTATCCCCGCCTTAAAGGACCAGGTAATGCATCATGCTGAAGACGTTTCGATGCGATTCAGGTGAATCTGGGCATGATTCTGACCCTCCGAAGGATGGTTGTTCAGGCAGGGCATGTCATGCCGCAATCACTGCGCGTCTAAGAGAGGGGGATGGGAGGCTCCGAGATTGTGGGCATTGTGTGGTATGTCTTAGCACGGAGGGCTGTGGGCTCTTGCGGCAATAAGGACAGAAAAATGGACAGCAAAGCTGAAACTTCTACGTGCCCTGACTTGCAGGCCTACCTCAAGGAGACGCCATAGCCTATGATGAGCCCCTTGGACAATGTGCAGCAGTCTTCCAGTCACCAGGGTTCATTCCAAGCTCCAGCTGCTTCAAATGCACCTGGCGTCGTCACGCTGCCCTAGCAGACTCTAGCGGACTCTCGTGGCTGGGTGTGTGAGCGCGCTGAGGTTCGGCCGACCCTTGATCATGCGGGTCAAAGACCCCGAGACGAGCCAAAACCGAACCCTAGCCATGGCCTCAGCATCACTGCGTCACTGCTCAGCAATATAGAGACATTCAGCAGGGCTCCGTGTGTGGCAGCCTGAGAGAAAAAGGTGAGAAAAGACAGTGGGGACTACAAAGTCTTTGATGACGAAGCTGTCGACACCCTTCTGAACTCGATCACCGAAGACGTGTCCAAGCCCGGAGCTTTCCCTTGTGGTTTTTCTACTTATTGAAATGCTTTCGATGTTTTCTCGTGGGTGAGTCTACGGTTTCGGGGGCGAGCTTCGCGTGCCAAGATATCTCGACGACCTCTCCACAACGGAGTTGCGTGGGCTGGTCCACGAGGCCCGGGAGTGGTGACTTGCGGATGTTCTTTACTTGTGATAGATCGGCGTGTGCTTTGGGGAGGTGGGCCAGCGGCTGCTGGAAAACTCCCAGCTTTATCATAGCCGTCTCTCGGAGCTAGAGAAGCCGAAGCCCCGAGACACACGAGTTTCTCAGGGTTCTCTCAGCGATATTCAGGTTATGCTTCCGAAGGGTTGGACATGTAAGTTTAGGTGGAAGCATGCTCGTGTTGAGGCTGGGAGAGAAGGCCAACTTCATGTTCTTTGGCCTCGATAGCGATGCAAGCGAACGGGATCTCGACAATGCGCGCGGCGCCCGGAGGTTTGGGAAAGTTTTTCGGGTGGGGAGCCCTGTCTGTTTTGGCTGGCCGTCGAGATGCTTCGCGGAGGTATCGCAGGTTGGCCAAGCAAATGCATCCCGACAAAAACGGCGGAACGGAGGAGGCCAAGAAGCGGCCGGGGCCTTATCATGCCTTGCATGTCAGCTTGTCTTTGAGGGGACTCCAACGTCGTGGTGGCTGTGCAACATCCTCTGCCCAGGTTTCAGGGGATGAAGGAAAGATACGAAGCTTTGAAAAAGCGCTTGGCCGGGGACGGCCGTCACCAAAATTCTCTTCCTAGTCTTGCGAGTCTTGTGCAAGAAGAGTGAAGCAGACTTGGCCACGCCACGAGCTCGGGCACTTCGGAGGACACTGGTGATGCGGATGAGTCTGGCAAGGCGAAGGATGAAGGCAAGGGTTGATAGGCGTTTGGCACCCGCCTGGACACTTGAAGCCACAGGCGACGACGCTGCTCCGGACAATGAGAATGGCAAGGAGAAGGAGGCTGCCAACCTGCGGCGCATGCGTTTTCTTCTCAGGTTTTGTATTTTGTTTCTGTTCTATCTTCGCTCTTTGGGTTGTCCTGTTGCCCTTCATGCCCTTCATAAGCGAGCTCAACACTACTCGAAACTAGCCTGTGTCGGGCTTGGGGGTATAGGCACAGGGACGTGAAGGATTTTTCTGATGGTCAGGAGAAGGGTGACGGCAAGTCGATTGAGTACGATCCCGGGGACAAGGTGCAGCCTGAGCAACTTTCATCGCGTTCCGCATTGCGTGATTTTATTTATATGATATGATCGTGCATGATCTGTGTAGACCCGAAGCCATCTCCCAAATGTGGAGTGCATGCTTTGATCATTGTGACCCAACCCCCTAGGACTCCATGGTGCACACTGTCTCAAAGATGGCCGGCCAGCTGAAGAACATCGAGATCCAAATGAGCGTCTTGATGAAGGAAGTGTATCAGATAGTGCTTGAGTGTTCACATGTGCTCACTGCTCTGGTCTGCATCCTGCAGGAGCTAACACGGGTGAAGTCGCAGGTGCCCTGAACGGCAGAAGCCTTGAGGGCTAGGGCGGCTAGGAATTCCTGGCAGCTGCGGTGATTCTAGATCTCAACAGCGGCAGCACTTTGGGACTTGTATTCGAGGCCTTTTGCTCAACGATGCTTCAGAGTCATGCAGCTGCCACGCAAATGACAAAATTGACCTTAGGTCCTAGGACTGCAGCAGAGTGGCATGCCTGCCCATAAGCAGCGCAGCATTGCCGCCCTGTTGCATGCGAAACGAAACCCATATGCAAAAATGCTCTCAGCTTCAGTTTAATTTGCCCTACGTCTGCCGTTTTGTTGCATCCATGGTCCTTGTAGTAGCACCTCGTGTATTTTGCAGCTCGCAGCCGTCTGCAAGGGCCCGGCAACGGTCGTCAGCCGAAGATTGTGCATCACATTCCTTGCATGGAGGCTCGCGTTGACCCTGTCTGTCCATGCTGAGCTCAAGAATGGAATTCCTCCATTCTCCCCTAAAAATTAGCAGAGGCGAGAAATTGCGGGAGAGGGTCAATTGAGTCAAGCTCATGGATGTGGCTGCCGATGAAGTCCAGCCACGGGCATCCTGGGAGGAGGCAGAAGCTGTCCTCAGGAGACCAAATTTCCGCATTTCCCCCCACATTTCTCCATCTAGCATATACTCGATAGATGACTGGATAGATGACTTTTCCAGAGCCGCGAACTTCCGACTGGTCATAGGACGGTTTTGTCAGAGCCGGAGCACAGAATAGGCAGAATAGGGAGTCTGCTCCCCTGAGGACTTTACCCGGAGGAGGCCAAGGCAGGACTTTGCCGAATGATCTTGTGGAGGGCTTCATAGGGCTGAAAAAAGAGCTTCCCGCTTAACCCCGGGCTGCAGGCCTCTCCATCCTGGGGCACGATGTGATGGAGGAGCATGCAACAGTCTGAACTTTGCGTGTTGTGTGGCACCAGCTGGACACAGAGTGCATGGTGTCAGTGGGCAGCTAGCCTGGAACTCCTGCAAACTCTGCGGAGGACTGGGAAGCGCCGTACATGCATGCCCTGGCTGCCGTGGCATCATCACAACCTGGGCCTGTGCTAGAGGCAGGTGAATCCTGCTCGCTTGAAAGCGCGACAAGCAATCGCCTTGAGCGTACTGTTGTGGGATTCTTTTTGTCCTTCGGGCCCGGATCAGGTCGGTTTCGGTCTGGGTCTGTCTGCAGCAGCCCTGGCAACTTGCTACCCATTGCGTGATTTCAGTTTATCGTCGTGGCATGCGTAGTCTAGGTCATGCATTCCTTGTTTCAGCAGTGCACGCCTGTGCAGTCGAAGCCGTGATAAAGTTGGTAGTAGATTCGGGGATTGTCCCCAAGTTTTGCTGATGTCGCTGAGGATAATCTTGGTGTGGAAGGACATGTCATTGTGGAGGCCAATGCGGAGGTTCTGGGCCGTGCCGAGCAGTGGGCCGAAACTGCAAAGTGCCCCGCATTGAACGCATTGAAGTAGCCAGAAGTGTGAAGGAGTACAAGGTCAGGATCTTGTAGAACTGAAAGCCCCTGTGATAGCAACTGACGTTGACTTTGTGACTCCCTCTCTAGTGGATATCGATGTCCTTCAGGTGCCCCACGATCGTGCTGGGCGGATTCTGGCAGGACCTTGTTGGCAGCATGGCTGAAGGTGCCTTCAGTGGCATCCTCTTCGACGCCTACCCGCTCTCACCTGGGGAGGCCGCTGGTGATGGGGAGGTTGGGGCTTTCTTCGTGGAAGCCGGAAGGCTCTTACGACCTGGTGGGGTGTTCACCTTCTACTTCGATGCCGGGCGGAACTGGATCGAGTGCGTGCGCTCCTTCCGGGCAGAGACCATCCCCAAGTTATGGGAAGCAGGCTTCACAGACGTGCAGCACGACCAAGTTGCCTGTACGCCTCGACCCGGATGTACCTATTTTTGGAAAGATCGCTTTCTGGTGCCAAAGGCCACTCGGTAAACTTGCGGGCAAAGTATAGCATTGAGAACGACAGCAGCCGGCACCCTCACTGTTGACAAGCTCGGAAAGCAAGCTCTGATGCCTTCCTAGCGACTCAGACCTTCATGAGCAGCACGATCGATGGCAAGACCTGGCAGCTTTCTTTGAGGCAGGACGAGGAGTTGGAGTTGGACCGAAGGCAATCGAGCTCTGGGTCGACAGGGTTTGTCTCAAGCCTGCAATGACAGGAGAGCGAGGCATGTCTAAATGGAGTGCTTCTGCTTGAGAGTGAGCAAAGTTGTGCGACGACGCAGAGGCATCACGACATGGACATGCGCACGAACCTGCAGCTACTGAAGCTCAACTAGTCAAGAGTGTAGGTATTGGGAAGTTGTTCGGAGAACGCATGCCCACGAACAAACCCATGGGCACGCAGCCCCTTGTAACACTTCGCTCCATGAAGCCTCTACCAATGGTACCAATGCCACCAGCCACAACGCGTCACACAACCATGGAGCGCGAAATTGATAGCCACCTCAGGAATCTGCAGATTAACGCTGCCAGTCCTTAGTCCTTGCTTCTTCCAACAACAGCCTGGACGGACAGCAAGAAGCCTTGTTGAAACTTTGGGACAGGGTTCTGCAAGGGGTTGAATGGCCAGTGGACCCAGCAGCCCCTCAGCCAGGAATGATCTGCTGCCTGGCCTAGGATTAAGTGAAGCATCTTGAGCCTCCGCAAGCTTGATGTAACCGGGAGAGGTGGTCATGATGTGCACCGCTTCATGTTCCCATTGGTGGCCTTCGTATGCAGCTCTCTGACTCGGTCCACGCTGAGCCTGCACTTGGCCATGAACTCATGTTCCCACTTGGCCAAGGTTGGAGGGACCGGCGTTGGCCCAGCGGACAGAGAGGCTGCGGAAAGCTCGAGACAGCATGAAGCCTCTTCTTGCATCTTGGTGAAGAATCGTGTGCATAGTAAATCTCGGAGTGGTGTTGGGTTGACAGATGATTCTCTCTCTTCCTGTGATCGGCATGGTCTGATGTAGCATCGAGTTTTTCACCTCCACAAGCTGCCTCACATTGCTGCACTGAGGAGAATACATATTCCTTTGCAAACAATTGTGAGACGGTCGCGTCCTCAAGCAAACACGTGCTCATTTGCAGCCGCACTCATTTGAGAAATCGTTGGCTGCAGTTTCGCATGATACTCACTTGAAGAGCCCTCTTTTGCCGCGACCCCGAACGACGAAATAGGATGAAATAGGTATTTGAGGTAGCGCGGGGTTGTATCTGCGTACTACCACAGCAATTTTGTCTGCAGTGCCGACCGGTACCACTTTCGCACTTTCCCATTCCCTCCGCCCCTCTCGCTGGGTTCTCCTTTCCCAAGTTCAGGCCTCTGTTCATACCTCCTGGTTATTGCAAGTTTGCAGCGAGGTTTTCCGGGAGTTCCGTGTCGCGTGCGTCCACCTACGCAAAGAGCGCGAGGCCCTCGATTCTCTGGAGGACGGATGGGTCGTATGACGGGGAGCAGGGGGAATCCGCTTTGACCCCAGGCTTTCAGCGCCAGAAGTGTTGTATTTCGGCATTCCAAAAGCATTCTGTCAGATTGACCACGTGGCTCCTAAACAGGACAAACTAAACAAGTCTACAAGCTATGTACAAATCCATACTCATGGTACTGAAGCGTGGTCTGCGTGCAGGAGAAGAATGTTGCCTGGAGATATCTTTGCAAGCTTTGCAAAGAAAGGTGTGCTGCCCAAGACATTCGGGCAAATCACGTGGCGACTTCTTGCAGTGCATGAGCAGCACCGGCATGCAAGGCCCTTCCTGCACGATCGAGTGCATGAAGTGTCTCAGCTGCGAAGCAATGAGTTGTTGTAGGTATTGCAGGTCTTCGTATCTCGGTTCTTTGATGAACGTCTTCTCGGTCCTACTTGGGTATGGTACCGGTGGCTGCAGCATTCGAGAGCTCATTTCCCAATGTTCACGAAATACAGGAATCTACACATAATTGCAACACATGTGCACCGTCTCGGCAGGCTCCGCCCATCCCATGCACCCCGGAGCCTGACTGTGCTCCTAAGACGCAGAAAACCACGATTCAGAAAACCACGCGATTCAGCAAATCGGTTTCACGCGATTCAGGAAACCGCCATTCAGGAAACCAAGCGATTCAGGAAACTGGCTTCACACAATTCATAAAGCCGTGCGATTCACCGAATCCATGCTCGAATCCGCGTTTTCCAGTTTTCCCCGAATCACGGTTTTTCTAGTTTCCAATTCCGCGCGTTTTCAGTTTCCGAATCCTCTGCTGGCCATGCGAAGCACAGCGGCTACCGGAGCTACAAACAAGACTTTACGAAGAGGCGAAGAGAGCCAGTGGACGCATTCAAAGCTTTCCGGCAGTTTGCCCAAGCTCGACAGGCTTTGGATTGTTTTCTTCTCCCTACACGAAAAGTGCAGCTTTGTCAAAGGAGAGGCTTGGGAGGTCGGGAGTTTGGGGTGAAGGGTCGGCTGGGACAGGGGGAAGGAGACCAGATCTCGTGCTCCAGACGCCTCTTGGCACAGAGGCCCAAGCAACTCAGCGTTTCCATGCGTTTCCACTTGGTTTTGCTGCAGTCCGTTCGCATCGGATTGAAGGTGCTGCAGATTTTGTTGATGAGCGACGCCTGGATGAAAGCCTTCGCAGAGGCATGTGGGGATTTACGAACATAAGGGACCCCTTATAGACCTCCCCCTAGAGTAGGGACCCCAACCAGGTACCCCTAGTTTCGGAAACCCCCATATCTGCGCCACGAGACAGGTGTGGCTAGGTATGACTAGGTTGATCCGCCCATCGAACACCGGTCAGGACCCCGAATGCGAAGTCGAAGACCTGCCGCCAGATATGCAAAGTGAGTTCAAGCGGCGGGCCGAAGAGGTGCGCATTCGGATTGACTCCGAGACCACCTACTGCAGTAGATTTTGTAGTGTAAGGGGATGAGGGAGGCGCATGGGGTGTACACAGTTTGATTACGTACTCTGGTCAGCGAAGGTATTCCAGCGGTGGCCGAAAATCAAGATTAACAACCTTTCTTGGGATAAACTTCCAAGGCTTCCGTTCGAAATTTATGTTCTTGTGTATGTCGTAGTATTTCACATAGCTTCATGTATGCTTCATGTATGCTAGGGGGGTGACTCGTCACAGAGTCTGGCAGTCCTGCTGTGATTTCAACTTCCTTCAGGCCCGCGACCCTGCCGAAGCTGGAAAAGGTTGGGCATCCGAGTGCACAGCTCTGTCTAGGTGGAGGTTGCTCTACTCCGAGGTCCCAGGAATCCCGAAGAGATGGTTTAAAAGATTTTTGAAAAGGCCATACCATCAACAGCACAGGTTTGACGGCTCCCAGGAATCCCCACTCCCCAGGAGGTTCCTGCAGTCGCCAGGCAGTCCCCAGAGCCCCAAAGAGGCGCGCAAGAAGGTCCAAGACAAGCCAGAACTAGGACCACGCAAGCTGACGCAACATGTTCTGGCGAAAGAGCATGACAGAAGCCTGGAAGAGACCCGGAAGCCGGAAGACGCAGAAAGAAGGCACCGGAATCAGGCTCTGCAAGGGTAAAGGGGTCCCCAGAAGGCGGGTTGGGGGTTTCTGGAAGGCGGGTGGGGTCAACGCCCCGGAGGTCCCCCCCCCAAGACCCCACGCTGGCAGAGTCCTTGAGGGTTGCAATCTCAAGGTCCAACCCGCGGTTCTCAAGTTTTCTGGGGTTCGCCAGCTGCACTTTGTTAGAGGACCCGGCTCTGTGGGGAGGGAGGATGGGTAAGCAGGGCCTCGCATTGAAAGCAACCCCTCATTCGGGTAACATGCAGGTGCTTTGCTACATGCTGCGTGCTTGCACAGATTCTCTGCCCAAAGGCTATCCAGCGCCTCGGAAAGTGTCGGACCAGGTGCGCAGGACATGGCCATTGCCAGAGGTCTCGTGGAAAAGACCAGCACTCATGCCCAATTCCATATCACAGACCAAAAAACATCATGAATGGATTGCACTGCTGCAAAGGGGTTTCATGAATGCTGCAAGCCCTGCGTGAAGGCTTTCAAGGCCAGCGGTACAATTGCCGTGGTGGTCCAGCGCTGCAACCGAGCGAAACTGCAAACCGATGAGGAGACAGACACCTGGGCCACCTGCCATCATTTGTAGTTCCATGACGGGAGCACATGCTCAGTTGACTCATCGGCCTTGTGCCTTGACCCGGCTCTTCAGGCTGAGATTGGCCATGGTCTCTTTGTAGCGGTGTCCTTCAACAAGGGGGCGACTGAAGACAAGGTTGCCCCTGCGGCGAGGCATGATCAGAATTGACAGAGAATGGCAGAGATACGGCAAAGATGGCAGAGTGCTGGCAGCTACCCTACATTACCCTACCCCAACCAGGTCCTTTAGTGTCATGGTGTACCGCCGTGACTGGCAGGTTTCTTCTCACAGCGAAGCTCTCGCAAGCGAAGGATTCGAAAGAGGTGCTCGGAGCACGTTCTGCATGAAGCTGCAAACAACATCTTGGCCTTGGCAAGCTCAGCAGATGCATCGGGCTACTTTTGGTCGTTTATGACCTCTTTTTCAGGCCGAGTCTGTGGCGGCCATTTCACAGCGAGGTGACTACCAGGCCATCGTGCAAATGGGGAGTACCTAACAGCACGCGGGCCATAGCTACTTTGACGAGTAGCCGGATTTGTAGGGTTAGCATGTCGGCGAAAAGTGCGGTCTATGCGCACTTACAAGTGCCTCAGACAAGAAACACGTGCGGGGGCACTTGTTGCACTTGTCTCTCTGCGACGCAAAGTAGCACGAACATGTGTTCCAGGGCATCCTCGTGCTGCCGCAGGCGCTTCTTCAGGGCCACATGCTGGACAAGCCTTTAGTAAGCATGAGGCATTGTGCACGTGGGTGATGGTTTTGACAGCCTGCGCAGGCTTCGCTTGTGTCCGAGCTGAAGGACGGAGTCGTGCTCAGGGAAGGTTGGATGTCTTACATGCGCACTGGGCTGAGAGCCTCTGGGGCCACAGGAACCACCGAGAGGGTCAACGTTTGACGTCGTGGACACCCATGCAGCCATGCGATCTACTTCTCTTTACTCTCAGCGGAAGAAGCCAAAAGTGTCAGTGTAAGCACTCTTTGCGGATCACCAGCTGTGCTCCTTGAACGTTAGCCGAACCAAGCCAACTTGAAAAAGTGGACAAGACAACAACCGCATGATGGGAGGCAGTGTCCCCTTTAGTTCTTCTGCAGCCTGTGCATTTCTAAGAATTCTTGGGTGGCCTCAGGGGCAGGCTTTTTCTGAACAGCGTGACCCTTTGCAGCCTTTGCAGCCCTGCTGTAGGACTCCGATTTCAAGTACTCGCAGCAACTGCAAAAAAGTGATGCCCATCGACTATATGAAGCGTTTGTGCAGGCTTGGAAGCAGAGCGCCGACTCGGTTTTGTCGGCTTTGACTCCAGTGACACGCGTTTCATGGGTTTGAGTATTTCACACGTTCGTTCTTGACTTAAACGAGCTGCCGGCTGGGTTCTCTTGTTCTCCATGGTTCTCTTGCCTGTGTCCAGGCGCTGCGCAAATCTGCCGCCGAGCTTGCGGGTGGCGGCAAGGCAGCAGAGATTGTTGCAGGCCTCGTACAGTCGAATCGACGTTTGGCAGGATACCTTATGCCTTTTCCTTTGTGTGGCTCTTCAGTCTTGACTGTTGCAGGTGACTTCAATGCCCCACAGATTATGGAGGTCGCTTCCAACGGTCCCTTCATGCATTCCTTCTCGGTGTGAGTGGGAAAGCCTGACTGGTGCTGGTGGGCCCAACAAGCGTGCGAGAGGAAGACAACCGCACAAGCTTTGCACTAAGTTTGCGGTTGAGAAACCTTCGATACATTGGTTTAGACACTTCCCTGGGCGACGACTGCCATGAGCGGAGCATCCTTTTGCGGATACTAGGATAACTACACTACTCACTACTCCATGTCCTGTGTGGAGTATCTTGTCGTCATCGGATCGCGTTACCCATCCTGCTGGAAAACTCATGACAAGACTCTGGAAACGCGCTGCATATGCTTGTGGAATGTCAGTTCGTGCGTTTCGGTATGAAGGAAAATCGAGCAAAGCGTTCACCAAAGGCAAGCTTTCTTGCAACACGTGGGGGAGGTTCTTGTTTGGCTGTATGGCTTGAGCGGAAGTCGTCGATTTTGTGTTCGCATTCGTTCCAAAATCTCCGATGCAGTCATGCGAACACCTCTCGCCAGTGCCACGGAGCTCGCACTTAGGCATAGCACAATTCGTAACTCATCTGAGAGTCGGACGCATCTAGAAGTTCATATCTACCCATAACCTCCATAACCTCGCCTATATGGGTGCCTTGGAAGTGGAGGCGGGCACAGACAAATCACGAAATCTAGCCGCTGAGGGCTGGCGGAGTTACCTAATGCGTTAGCTTTTGTCTAGGGCTGGTTGTGGGGGGAGGTGCAGGATCCATGGGCCTTGCGAATGAGCTGCTGCTTTTTGGAATAAGCTGTTCTTTGCACATGAGCTGCTTTTGCACTGCAAAAGAACGCCTGAAGAACACAATGCGCACCCGAAAGAGCCGCCTGTTGATGAAAGTTTGGGGTTTTTGGGGTCAAGGCCGGGGCTGAAGCTTTGTGATTGGCGACCTTAAGTTGCATTGTGCAACTATATCTAGCGGCACAACCCTATGGAATCATTCGGTGCCTTTAACGGATATGGGCTTTAGAGGCGAGGTGCCCTCATACTCCCTTGGATTTGCAGTGAGCGTTGGCTGCATTCCAGCATGAAGGTCTTGCAGTCTCGCAGTTTGTCAAATGCCAGGTTACCCTCGCACGTTGAACTTGATGTCCGCCTTGTTCCAACTGGCTGGGATATCTTCCGAGTTTTCGCACTGGCAGACCATGCAAGAACGGACTGTAACGTCACCACTAGGTTGGCGATGCGACATGGCATTGACCAGCTGCTCTCCACAACTCATGGTTACAGCAATTCCAACCCTTTGAGCCTTTGACTTGGGCGCATCAAATCCCCCGGCCGATGTGCCATGGTCGCCAGCTGCGTCGGCTGTCTCTCTGTCAGGAGCCGCAAGGCAGGACCGAGGGCGCTACTTCCATTGCCTACTGTTTGAACTCTTGATGCCCTTATAACCCCTGCATAATGAGTACATTGAGTACTTCCACCATGCAGCGAGTTTTGATGGCCTCCTAGCCGCAGCCGTAGCTAGCAAGATGCACACGCAGAGTGTAACAAAAGCAAGCTCTGTTTGAAGGCTCCAAGGGAGCGCAGCGAGCCTACGGTTAGCCCCCGTGAGCGAGAGACCAAGCAAGTTCATCTACCCGCTGACATGAGCGACAGGAGTGTGCGTTTCTTGGTGTGCAGCTTTAGCACAGCGTAGCAGTCAATAATGAAGCAGTCTGGGATAGCAGGGCCCAGATAGCTTGCGCGTCAGCGAACCACAGGAATGGTGTTGCCTTTGCTTGACAATTAGCGAGCTGAACAAACCATAAATACGGGCCAATGCACATTTGTGTCATCTAGGTCTGTTCGCAGCATGCCGTTTCGCATGCGTGCGCCAAGGCAAGAAGCCTGCCAGCAAGGGCTCTTCGCCAGGCTCCACACACAGTGGCTCGACTCAGGACCATGAGCTCATCTCCAATGATCTCGATTTCGCAACTTTCCCGGCCACCGTCCAGGTGAGAAGCCTTCCCATAGTCGTCTTCGACGACGATGTTGATGAGCAAATAGTTTGGGACACTGGCATCGTCAAAGACGGTGTAGTTAGCCATGCACCCGGACCACCAGACATCCGGGTCAAGAACCCGGTGGTCATGTCGAATGCCTACCGAGGCTTTGTCGTCCAGCCACATGAAGTCAGATACCTGCACTACCGGGATGTCGGCATGATATTTGCGCGCCCGCTAGGTGGTCGCTTCATGCAGCCGAGTATCGACACGATTCTTGTTTGTCGCGGCTTGGTAGACTGCTTGGCGGAGATGCGGCAGGTAAAGCGAGTCATTGACGTGGGAAGTGGTTCTGGTCTGATAGGAAAGTTTGCTGCGCATTATGCGCAGGGAGTCGGTGACTTAGAGGTCACCCTCGTTGACATTGACCCGGTCGCTACCAAGTACTACCAAAGCAACACCTTCAACGCGCAGAGTGTGGTGGGAGTTGCTGGTCGGACCATAGACTGGAAGTTTCGTGCAGAGGATGCGGTGGCCCTTCTCAACGACGATGCAGGCTTCGATCTCGTCGTCTCGAACCCGCCCTACATCCCAACTAAAGGTGAAGCAACAGGCAGTAGCCTGTCGCCGTTGTCCGGAGGCTTCTGGGAAGGGGTAGGTCTGGTCGCGTATCTCCTGAAGCTCATTTCGGAGAGACCTGCGGGACCAGAAGCACGCTCTCCGGCAGAACGGGGAGAGCTCTTAACAATTCTAGCGTAATCTTTTGTTTTCTGAGAGCTTAGATGCCCCATCTTCTGCGAATGCCTGAGGACTGGTCATGATGATTTCTTCCCTGACACTAAAGTCACCTGCCATCATCAATGCCCTTGAAGATGCTGCGAAGCGGGGCTGCAAGATCCGAGTCCTTGTGGAAAGGGAGATCGCTTCTTGGCCTCAAGGTGGCAGGGCCATTGTCATTTCTTGGAACTGCCTGTTGTGTTTGTTGCGGTTTCTTGCGGCTTCGTGGCCGGGACATGGTGGGGTCGTTGACCTCTGAGGGCTGGAAAGCCTGGTACGCCGGCCCATCAGCCTTGGATCACCTGCTCGCAGATCAAAAGGAACTACGCGATCGCCGCGGCTCCACTTAATTTCTCTACAATTGTGTAGCATTCGCTGAAACAGGAGGGTGGGGATGGCCAACAAATGCCACTAGTGCAAGCACGACATGCATCCGGAGTCTCTTGCTGCTAAGAGTTGGAGCCACGATGGAGAGACATGGCATCGGCACTCGACACTAATTGCCAGTAGCACTGGTGATGCCTCAGAATGGACCGTTTGAATCCGTTTGAGGCAAAGTGGCTGGTTGCAAGTTTTTCATCGGGGCGACTTCGCCGGGCAACAGCCGAACGGGACTTGACGGCCGGGATGACTTGTGCCTGGGTCGCACTGCAGTGCAAAGCTTTTGCCTGCGCTGTACTTTTTGCATCTTTTTGCGTTCCATTCGCTTCTGCCAGGTGGGGCTACCATTGGCATTTTGCCTATGTCCTAGAAGTCCGAGCGCCTCCTCGCTGAAGGGTGGCTGCTCGGGCTCTTTTGTGGTCGGCGCCTGCCGCATTGATGTCCGCATGGCAATTAGTACAGGGTGCTGAGCAGTGGGTGTATCTGTCAGACGGTAGAACCGACAATGACGCACGTGCAATAGCTTCACACCCGGTTCGCACCCTGACAGGCATGAAGCATCCTAGATGTCCGGTATGCCCAGAGTGCATCAAACTTGATGGACCGGGGCAGGCACAAGTGTGCCTTATTTCCGATGCTCTTCGCATCAATGTCCTGCTGGTGGCCAACGCACGGCATCTTCCACAAGCAAAGTACCCCATGACAATCTTTCACTAATGCAATCATTCAGCCTTCTTGAGAATATTACATGGTCCGTTGTGTTCCTTCGTTTGGGGTGTCTAATCAAGCCGGAGCTCCCCTAGCCAACGAGTGGAGAGGTACGTATGATTACGTAAGCATGTGTTCACGTAAAAACACTCGCAGAGATTGCGTGCTAGCATCTCATCCCGTACTGGCCGTAGATGTGCTATCGCTGGCGCGGGTCACTGCTGAATTCGTTGATGGTTGAGCTGTGGTTGCCGCAACTCCGATGCCGATTTGCTGCATCGACAATCTTCCTGCGCAGCGGTGTCTCCATGTCCTTAGGGTGTCTTCAGGTGGACGGTGTCAAGGGGGTTAGGTGACCCGTAGGTGCCCCGTGGGTTCCATCAATTTCAAGGAGCTTTATGAATGCTCACCACAGTTCCTTCGTTGGAGGTAATGCCTTGAACAAGGTCTTTTCTGCCGTCACAGGACGTGGTCCAGACACACCCAGCGAGTCGAGAGAGCTGCGCGCGCACAACGAGTAACGTATGATTTGCATTGCGGGTATGCCCCTTGACGGATGCTGTCAGTTGTGGGTGAGTCTGCAGTGCTGCGAGTTTGACATGGCAGCCCAGCATGACACGGCCCCGTGGCAGAGGCCGAAAGAATTCTAATGGCAACCTTGGCAGAGGACTGCACGCGTCGCTGCGGTGTAGGCGACGAAGGAGGGACATGTCGGTGATTGTCATCGTTCATGATCCGAAAGCTGTTGGTAGCAGTGTATGTGTCATGTCCGCCCGCGCACCGCCGACAGTTAACTCAACTTTTGTGCCTCGGGCCCGCTGCACTGCGAGCCTGGTTGAGTTGGGCTGGGTGCTTTTGCGAAGCCAGAGAACAGAAAGCATGGCAGCGACGTCCAAAAAGACCACAGCGCACTTAGGTCATACATGATTAACCTGATTCAGCACAGAGAAGACATTCGGACAAGCCAGCCCAGGAAGATCGCAAACTTGTTGAAACCCTGAGCAAAAGTGGTACTCAAAGGAAGGCGATCAGACTTGAACCGAGCGTGTGCAGATCAGATGAGCCCTACAGTCTCATGCAGGGAAGGCTTCCCACGTGCCACAGATGGTGAAGTGTATTCACAAGTCACAAGTGCGATGGTACGGTTGGATTATCCTTGCGGTGACTTATGCTTCAGTTCGCCCATGGCCGTAGGGTAGTAGAGTTGCAGGATCTCGGGTTTGGGTTTAGAGCGTTTGGGTGTCCGGCACGGTTTGAGAAGGCTCGGCTTAGCTTGGCCGGTTGGGATGGTGATTTTGTGGGTTCTTGCGCTCCTAGTCGGGTGTCCGCTCTCGTGAGACGGTCTTCCTCCTCATAAGTGTGTCAGCATTTGAATACCTTGCTGTGTGTGCTGATCTGTCCCTGTCTCTTAGTTCTTGAAGCAGGGTCAGTAGTGACCGCAATGATCAAGAAAGTCGTTTTGCGAAGCCCAGCACTCTCCTCAGTATCAAACACAGTCACACAGTTGTAAACTTAGCATTCTTGCCAGCCAAAGCCCACATACCATGATTCTTCTTCGATGCAGCTGTGGGCTTCGCGGTGACATGACATTCACAAGCTTCACTCATGCGGGCTGCTGAGCACGTTGATTCAGCGGTTGCGACGACGTTAGTTTGGTAACGTGACTGCTCCAATCTGCTCCAGATCAGAGGAGGCTTGGACAGCATGGGTTTTGAAATGTAGATGTGCTGGACCCATGCCGCTCTCCGTATCTCAGCGCCGTCTGGCTGTTCGGCAGTTTGTTGCTGACAGGCATGGGCGCCCCTCGGCTAAGCAAGCTTCTAGTGCTTCGAGTGAGCTCCATCGCACGATCCTTCGCGAAGCGGAAGTGTTGAGACTTTAGAACTGGCGTGCTGATGAGGCCCCGATGACCGACGGCTGGAGGGGCCGCAGCTGAAACGACCAGATCCAGTGCAGCCGATCCTGGTGCACGATGATGAGGCAAGAGCTGAGGAGACACGATCTGCTGGTTGACGCTTGTCATCTAAGTTCGTTAGACGACTGTCTCCTCATTCTATCGACATTGGGATTCCGGGAAGCATGGAAAGCCAGGTCGTGGAGAGAAGGCAGCAGGCCGTGGCTCGGGTCCGACAGCGGCGAGCGGAACGCGCTCTGGAGGGCTTTGCATGGCCCCCGGATGTTATTGTATTTTTTTTGAGGGAGGTCAAGATTATTTGGAAGGTTTCGGGAGTCTACATCTAACAACGGAGCACTTAGCTGATGGGTTTCTGGAAGAGTGTGCATGAGCGGCCTGGGACTTCTCAGGATTTTGCTCAACATGAGCTTCTTCACTGAAGCTGTTCTGTTAGAGTCGTTGCCGGCACAGTCTTCTTCTCTGCATGCTGAAGTTTAAGTCTTGTGGGTTTGAGGTCGGAGCTTTGGCCTTCACAGATCTTCTGGCTTCAGTTGTGATTGAGGTCTTCATTGCATGGTGAATCGTGTAACCATGGTTTGCAGCCGGCCAGGGCCATGTGGTGTTTGCGGACGTTTTGCACGATGAATCGTATCCTTTGCAGACACAAGGAGGTGAACCACCAGGATTATCAGGCTGTGCCTTTATCTACTCCTTCGCAGCTGTAATCGGTTCACAGGAAGATGTTTGGAAGGTTCGAGTACGTCCGAAGTTCCCTCTGGCGCAGCAGCACCGGAACTGCAGGTCAACCAAGATCGATGTCGGGATGTGATCAAGACAAGTGCCGTGTTAGAAGAGGTGCGGGGCTCAAAAGAAGACGATGGATGTCCTTGAGCCGTTCCCGTAAGGGTCGTGCAGGTCAGCTTCGTCTTCAGGTGTTTGTGCCATCTAGACCTGCACTGTGAGGACATCGATGGTGGACGGAGTCTGGAGAGAGAAGCCAGCGAAGCAAAGGAACGACTGGAGCCGAAGGAGGGCATCATCCGCCTAAAGCCGCCGGAGGCGTGGCCCTCCCATTGCCCCCCCAGTGCTGGGGGAGTGCTGGTTGCTGTCTTGCTCGAAGTCTTGGGGCTTCTTATGGGGCTTCTTGGCAGGCTGCACGTGGCTTTCCCACGAGCCGAGTTGTCACAGCGGCCTCGGTGCGCTTCTGAGGTGGAAACTCAATCCTGTGACTCGGGGCCACGCCACACTGCTGTGACAGTTGTGCTATCTCTCGTGCTCAGGATGAGAGTGACCAGTCACCGGCTCGGGAGACAGCCAACGCGGTCGAGGAGGTGGCGTGTTTCATGTGCACTGTCGTCACAGAAAGACGAGACGGTCCTGGATTGAAGATTCGGTTTCAACAGGGCACTGCTCAAGTGTTGATCTGCGAACAAAGGTCAGTTGCACTCACCAAGCATAGGTTGCTGAGTGGCCCTGCGAGCCATGGATGGACACAGTGAAGATCTGGTAGATGCGAACTCGCGCAAGCAAGAATGCTCACGCTTGCTGTGGCCTTCAGGCACCTCCTACTTTCATCATGTTCTGCTGCGCGCCTCTCCCTTTTAGTGCTTGATTCTCGCCAACTTGTTGGGGTTGACTCATAATGACTGACCTGCAAATGTGAAGATTTCCTGGGACATGTGGTCTATAGCTGGCATGATTAGGTGAGCTGCCTCTTTTGAAAGAAGGCTTTTGATTGGCCTTGGACAGGATGGATGGTCGCCACCGCCCAGACCCTCGATGCCGGCAATGCCAGGCCTTTCTCATCTTTAAGACTGAACAATGCGTGATTCAGAAACTGGACGCGATTCAGGAAACCAGGATTCAGGAAACTGCGCGATTCAGGAAACCAGGATTCAGGAAACCACGCGATTCAGGAAACTGCGCGATTCAGGAAACTGTTTTCCCGCAATTCAGGAAACCGCGGTTCAGGAAACCACGAGATTCAGGAAACTGAGAACACGCGATTCAGGAAACCGCGCGATTCAGGAAACTGACAGCACGCGATTCAGGAAACTGCGCGATTCAGGAAACTGCACGATTCAGCAAACTGCGCGATTCAGGAAACCAGCGGATTCAGGAAACCACGCGATTCAGGAAACTGCTCGATTCAGGAAACTGCGCGATTCAGGAAACTGCACGATTCAGGAAACTGCGCGATTCAGGAAACCACGCGATTCAGGAAACCATGCGATTCAGGAAACCGCGCGATTCGGGCCTGTTGAAATGTGGGGGGCTGCTTTGTGACACTAACCGTTGAAGCGCATTGGGCTCCAGCAGCCATTCAAGCAACAGCATTGGGCTCCAGCCTGTTGAAACTGGGTCTCGGGGGGGGGATGATAGCGTCAAGGACAAGGCTGCTTTGTGACACTAACCATTCAAGCGCATTGGGCTCCAGCAGCCATTCAAGCAACAGCATTGGGCTCCAGCCTGTTGAAACTGGGTCTCGGGGGGGGGGGGGATGATAGCGTCCAGGACAAGGCTGCTTTGTGACACTAACCATTCAAGCAACAGCATTGGGCTCCAGCAGCCATTCAAGCAACAGCATTGGGCTCCAGCCTGTTGAAACTGGGTCTCGGGGGGGGGGGGGATGATAGCGTCCAGGACAAGGCTGCTTTGTGACACTAACCACCAAGCAACAGCATTGGGCTCCAGCAGCCATTCAAGCAACAGCATTGGGCTCCAGCCTGTTGAAACTGGGTCTCGCGGGGGGGGGGAGGGATGATAGCGTCCAGGACAAGGCTGCTTTGCTTTGACACTAACCATTCAAGCAACAGCATTGGGCTCCAGCAGCCCTTCAAGCAACAGCATTGGGCTCCAGCCTGTTGAAACTGGGTCTCGGGGGGGGGGGATGATAGCGTCCAGGACAAGGCTGCTTTGTGACACTAACCATTCAAGCAACAGCATTGGGCTCCAGCAGCCATTCAAGCAACAGCATTGGGCTCAGCCTGTTGAAACTGGGTCTCGGGGGGGGGGGATGATAGCGTCCAGGACAAGGCTGCTTTGTGACACTAACCATTCAAGCAACAGCATTGGGCTCCAGCAGCCCTTCAAGCAACAGCATTGGGCTCCAGCCTGGGTGTCGGGGGGGGGGATGATAGCGTCCAGGACAAGGCTGCTTTGTGACACTAACCATTCAAGCGCATTGGGCTCCAGCAGCCATTCAAGCAACAGCATTGGGCTCCAGCCTGTTGAAACTGGGGGTGGGGGTGGGGGCGGGGGGGGGGGGGGGGGGGGATGATAGCGTCCAGGACAAGGCTGCTTTGTGACACTAACCATTCAAGCAACAGCATTGGGCTCCAGCAGCCCTTCAAGCAACAGTATTGGGCTCCAGCCTGTCGAAACTGGGTGTCGGGGGGGATGATAGCGTCCAGGACAAGGCTGCTTTGTGACACTAACCATTCAAGCAACAGCATTGGGCTCCAGCAGCCATTCAAGCAACAGCATTGGGCTCCAGCCTGTTGAAACTGGGTGTCGGGGAGGGGGGGGGGGGTGGGGCATGATAGCGTCCAGGACAAGGCTGCTTTGTGACACTAACCATTCAAGCAACAGCATTGGGCCAGCATTGGGCTCCAGCCTGTTGAAACTGGGTCTCGCGGGGGGGGGGGGGAGATCGCGAGCTTTTAGCCATGAATCTGAGCCGAGAGACATGTGTCTACGACCGTTCTGATGAGGACCCCTGAACCAGCTCTGTCCGAATCCACGAATTCGGCTCCTGCCATCCGCAGTTTCCGAATCCGCGTTTTCCAGTTGCCTGAATCAGCTGGTTTCCGAATCCGCGTTTTCCAGTTGCCTGAATCAGCTGGTTTCCAATCCGCGTTTTCCAGTTGCCTGAATCAGCTGGTTTCCGAATCCGCGTTTTCCAGTTGCCTGAATCAGCTGGTTTCCGAATCCGCGTTTTCCAGGTTCCTGAATCAGCTGGTTTCCGAATCCGCGGTTTCCAGTTTCCTGAATCAGCTGGTTTCCGAATCCGCGTTTTCCAGTTTCCTGAATCAGCTGGTTTCCGAATCCGCGTTGTCCTGTTTCCTGAATCAGCTGGTTTCCGAATCCGCGTTTTCCAGTTTCCTGAATCAGCTGGTTTCCGAATCCGCCCTTTTCCAGTTTCCTGAATCAGCGGTTTCCAGTTTCCGAATCCGCGTTTTCCAGTTTCCTGAATCAGCTGGTTTCCGAATCCGCGTTGTCCTGTTTCCTGAATCAGCTGGTTTCCGAATCCGCGTTTTCCAGTTTCCTGAATCAGCTGGTTTCCGAATCCGCCTTTTCCAGTTTCCTGAATCAGCGGTTTCCAGTTTCCGAATCCGCGTTTTCCAGTTTCCTGAATCAGCTGGTTTCCGAATCCGCGTTTTCCAGGTTCCTGAATCAGCTGGTTTCTCGAATCCTGGTTTCCCGAATCCGCGTTTTCAGTTTCCGAATCCGCGTTTTGTAGTTTCCAGAATCAGGGTTTTCCAGTTTCCCAATCCGCGCGTTTCCAGTTTCCGAATCCGCGGCTGACCTTTAAGACTTCTCCACTGAGAGTTCCAACCGCCAGTGCAGGTCCGCCTGGCATCTCTGGCACCGCAGATGGTATTGCCAGCACTCTCCCGCTGATGCCTCTGAATTCCTGGTTCGATATAGGCCCTCGACCCCATGCGCCGGAAGGGAAGCATGAAACATCGCATAGGCCTCCCCGTTTTGAAGAGGTCCACGGCACTAGGTATCTCATGGTGGCAAGCCAGATGGGACACATGCTCCCGTCGATACAAATTTGTGTGTTTCGCTGAGGCCTAGCATCGTATCCATGGACAGCTCTCTCATGGAAGGTTGGGCACGTTGCAGCGCACTTGCCACTAAATGACGGTTGAACAGCGAAGTTTGCAGGTGAGACTTCTGGGTTGGGTTTGGGAATTAAGCTCTCTTTCGGTCAGGTTCTGACGACGTGGACGCAGAGCTACCTAGAGCAGAATCTCCCGCTGGTCCTGTTGAGATCCTCCCTCAAGGTGTCCGCCTTAAAGCGCAAGTCGCAAAACCAGCCTTACGAACCTTCAAACGCCTTGAGCCGTCGACGCCTTGCACACGTCGTGGGCAAAAACATCGTAAGGAAGTCGATTTGGAGAGCCCGTGCTGAGTGCCCTACCCTCAGTGACACGGAGCTTTGGAGATGATGTGGGCCTTCTTATGGGGCTTGATGATGGAGCTTAGGGTCGCTGCATGCGCTGCACGTTTCATGCGCCTTTAGTTTGTGTTGGCATTTAGTGGTTGTTGCGGTGATAGGCTATTTGGCTGAATCAGGGATCCTGCTGTGACGCAGGAATGGAACGAACATTTCTTCAAGTCGCTGGGTGTGAGTAGCAATTCTCTTTTTCGAACTTGCTCGATGTTGACTCGAGTCTTGCCTGTCCTGCCAAAGCCGTGGGCTCTTTCTTGTGCTGGATCCACGGGGGATCTGCCAGCTGCGACAACATGGGAGAATCTCGGCAGCATTGGGGGCTGAGTCCGAGAATGACATGGAACAATGAACAGCGTCCCATGCCACCATGATCCACCGTGCCACGGCAACCTCAGAAGGCCGACAGCTGTTGAGGCTAGCCACTCCGTCGAGCTGAATGCAGATGTTCCATGCCCGTCCCAACCAGGCACCAACTGCCTCATGGCTGAACGCCCAAGGTTGCGGGGGCTTTCGTTGGTTTCGAGGCATGTGCTCGGCGCACCTGCGACTGATAGAGCCAGCGTTCATGGCGATGTTCTCATGTGTCTGTCCTTGTCACTAGTTCAGTGTGACATATCAAATCATATCAAGCTGCATCGATTGTCCCAGGCATCGCGACTGAACCGCTCGATGTCCTGCCAACACCAGTGACCGCAGAAGAGGCTTACGAAGAGACCAAAGCTTTGATGAGGCAGGCAAGAGCGCGATTTCCTGGTGAAAGCACACTCGAAAGACATGTTTTCATACAGCAACGTCACGCAGCCATGAACGGACATGATGTTGCACTGTAAGCCTGCATGGTCTTCCAAGCTAGGCGTATGCCTGCCATTACAATTTCGGTCGGTAAATAGGTAGAACTCTGTGACATTTTACTTTGCACGTGTGGTTCGTGTTTGTTAGTCAGAGGTTGCCCTGGCGGGACATCCGATCAGGTACCCTTTGGACCCACTTACCGAGGGCATGTTGAAGCACTTCGAATGCAAAGACATCGACGACAAGACATTCGTTCTGAAGGCGATCAGACATGTGCAGAAACTGGCCTGTTGCGGAGGTGTGTGATCTTACGTCACATGTGACACATGTGTCAATGAAGAGCATGAGCCCCACGCTCCCTAAACCCCAGCATGTTCAGGGGCCAAGTAGCTGTTTGCCCGGCTTCACATGCTTCACCACTATTGTTCTGGGGTTGTTGCTCGTTCTTGCAAGGAGGAACGGTTTTGGGGTCCTCTCTTCCGGATGGTTCGGGTCCCTTTGCTTTCTTCATGTCTCCTCGATTTGCTCCATCACCTTCCCGCAGCTCCCTTAAGTTGTCCGAACGGGTGAGCCGCTGGGTCAGATTCTCGAGATGTAGGTGGTCACAGGCGCACAAAGTCCTGGAAACGAACTGCTGCGCACACTGTTTTCGGGTGAGTAGGGCAGCACTTGGCAATGCTGAAAACCTCGTCAACACCGATGTTTCGTGGATTCTGAGCACCCGAAAGTGCCAAATATGAGCTTTGTGACATACAAGAACGCACTACTTCCTCTTCAGCAAATGGCAATCCTCTGCCAGTGGCAGCTGGTACCTCCAAACAATAATACAGTACCAAGGAGCAAATGACAGTGTTCTGCTCAGTACGCTGCCCATCATCATTGTATTGCTTTCTCTTGTCTTCTTTTTGTTGTTTCCTTCCTTCTTCGGGTCCTTCTGTTGTTGGCTCCTTCTTCCTGACTTGAATGATTTTGATTTTTCAGTTTATGTCGATCTGTTTGTCTTTGTTTTGTCATTCATGTATTTCTTCCTGTCCTTCTTTCTGCTCATTGTTCCTTTATGTCGTTGTTCCAAATTCTCCGAAAATCCAGAAAACGACCAGGTTTTTATACGTGCCTGCTTCCATCTAGCTTTCCTTCTGGCTCACGGACCTTGAAATATCTTGGGTGCCTGCGGTCGGTCGTGGCAAAGTCGGGTCCAGTTTTTCTTAGGAACCCAAAGCCAAGCCGAACCAACCAGGACCCAAGACAAAACAAGTTTCCGCTTCACAATCCAACCCACACCTGAGAAAACAGAAGCCCCTCCATCGCACAGTCGCGGATCACTACTTTGAGTGCGCCAGTCAGAAGATGGTAGAAAGCAGCAGACATCATACCCAACACCGGAAACACGACATTTGTATGTGTTGTTGATCTTGATTATTCATTATTCAGTATTCTTGGTTTACGAACATGATCCCTGTAAGCAAGCTCGCAACTGAGCACGCATCGAGCAGACACATTCGCGGTTTTTCCACATGTCCTTTCGATGAAGAGCATACGACATCCCACCGTACTGGCATTTGCAGGGTTTCTTTCCACAAGCTATCCGAGGAACCTAGTGGCAGTGCCGCTCTTCGGTGGCTCTGGATTTTTTGTGAGGTTCCGCCTGGGGACGATGTCCTTCGTATTTGTCCAGAAAGTTCAGCAAGTTCTGTGCTGGGCAGAATCTTTTGGGTTGTTTCGTACCGGCACGTGGAAGCAGGAAAAGTTGTGTTGGACTGCGCTTGCATGGTTTTTATACTTGTGGATCCCGGCGCTTGTTCTCATTCTTTTTCTTCTCGATGCGCAGAAACAGCTTCTGGTGGAAACTCAAAATTACTCAAAACACAGTTAAACGGTGCTTTCTTACAACAGTACCAACCGATTGTCCAACCCAGACAGTCGCTAGATTTGAGTTTATCAAAGTGTCGGATGCTTTGCTTTTCTGCCAGATGGGGTCCTTCACGGCCGTTTTTTACGGCAATAATCGTCTGGCCCACCTGCTTCCCCAAGTGTGGAAACTTCCACAACCGCAGTCGCATTCTGTTTTTTGGGCCTTCGCTGGTGGATTTTCTTTTTGTTTGCTCGCATCCGGGCCCTGCTGCGGCCCTGCTTGGTTTTCAACCTTAGTTCCTCACGCCGAATGCCTTAGCCAGCTTTCTGCCCTTCTCATCGCTGTTCTTGCACAGGGACTTGCCGTCGACATAGGTTAGGCCCGTTAGGCCTGACATGACTCAGGATGCCCGTAGGAGTTCCCATCGCACAAGCCTCACAATCAGGCTTCGTTCTGAAAGTCGACTTTTCTTAGGTTTCAGAGGAGCCTGCCTTGCGGCCTCGCAGTCAGATCTGTTAGCTACTCGGGTCTTCCGTTCTTCTGTAGTACTGGCACTATTGATCGACGTGTGCAAGTGTGACGCTAACAAATGTTGCAGAGCACCCAGCTCCGACACTAAAACTGCTGGTCAGTAGAGTGAATCTCACCTCAAGGTGATCTTGGACGGCCAAAAGTTGGACAAGGTCGGATTCGGCAAAGGAGATGGCACGGACAGAATGAGGATGTGGAAGAAAGTGGTGTGCGATGATCCTGGGTTGCATTCGGGGTTGCACAAGTTGCATTGGCTGTCTAAACTCGTAGCATGTTCTGCATCTCCACATCTCATGCTTGTCATGCCAACTGTCGCAAGTGCCACTCGCCCTTCGCCCTTCGGTTCAAGGATGTTCAAGGATGTTCAAGGCCCAAAGGCCAAAACGGTTTTGCACTTTGCGGAGAGCGCACCAGCGGCGGCGGAAGTACGACATGAACCATGATGAACCCACGACAGTTCTGCACGTCCGAATGCGCGAAGTTGACCGCTGGGAAATGCTTATCCCCTTAGAAATGGTTTTGAAGGTACTGTCTGGCTTGTCGCATGTCAAACACGTAAGACTGTACATGCAATCATGCAGCCGTCCAAGGATGCTGGCTTAAAACTGGTGGTCGAGGACTACGTCTCAGAAGCCACTATGGGCTCGTGGGTGGATGAAGCTTCAGACAAGGAAGTTTGCAACACCTGCACGTTGCTCGTTGAGAAGTCACCGCCGCGACTTCTATTCATTTTTGATGACAAAGACGGCAAGCGAATGTCAGACGCGCCAGTGAGGGATGCACTATACCAATGGTCAGATATGATCGTTGGCGGCGTCCAGGCCTTCAAGAACTCCAAAGTGAAAGTGACAGGAGATGCAGACTCCAGCACGGACCCAGGCAAGAAAAGCATGCTGACTGGTCCGATGGATGACCATGTGACCTACGACAAGTTTTGGGCCCAGCACCTGAAGTATTGCAAGGACTTCGTCAGAAATGCGTTCGCCTTAGTTGGTGCTCCACTCTTTGTAAGTTCTGGGCTGGATCATGGGACGGGCAACATGTGCCGAGCATGGTTTTGTGCACGCAGCTGTCTCTTTACTGGTGCACCCAAGCTTACGCCCTGAGCATGAACCTTGCACACCCCTCCGACGCGACGACTTCTAAACCCGGCTCTGCGCGGCCGGAACCTGACCCGAGTTTTCAAGGGAGCGCTCGGGCGCTAGAAAGCCAATCGTGTTGTCGTGTCAAAATATCAGGGTCATGCCGGGCCAGTGACAAGGAAAGCTTCGACCATCGAAGTATCGAAGTAGACCCCGAAAGCCACATGCTCTGCATCCTGCGAAGGCGACGTAGGGCGGCAGTGTCTGAAAGCTACCGTGCATAGGACTCACCGGACCCTTGAAGCTTCAAATCCCAGCCCCGAGGAGCCAGTTTTCAGAAACAATGGGCTCCCCAAAGTTTTGAAACCTCCAAACTCGGTCTTTCAGACGGTCCTGGGCCCTGGGTCCTCGGTAGGCGTTGAGAACGCTCGTGTCCCTGGTCCCTAGCCCAGTTACCTGGAGCTCAATGCGAGGACATCTCTGAGGACGAGTGCCCCGGTTGTGATAAGTGATGCCCAGAGATGCAGTACCACGGTGACACGTGTCCATGTCACACTTGTGTCCAAGGTTCAAGGGGACCCTCGTTCTGGATCCTGCCAAGCCTACGGAGGCCCGCTTGGTTCAGAGGGCAGTTCCAGGCTTTGCAGAGCCAGGGATGCACTTCCTTTTTGCAACAGCTGCTGTCCTGGCCTTGTTGTCCGGCCTTGTTCACGCAAGACCACACTTGTTCAAGGTGTCAACACACACCGTTCGCGCCGCGAAGTCCGAAAGCAAGGCGGGGAGCAGACATCAGGACAGCCCTCAGAAGCGTTGCTGGAATGGTGTCTGTCCACCCCTGAGCAGGTCACGTGGACAATCGAGCACGACGGCAAGGCCACTGGCAGTCTTACAGCGCGTGCTGCAATGCGCGCGCAGAGAGTGGCAGAACCGAAAGCCGTTTCAAGTTTTTCTCTACGTCTGCACTCCGAAAGCTCCACCCAAACCCGAGAACGACGACGGAAGGTGATGACGGAGATGCATCGGATTGTCCATCAGTCACCCCTGGTTCTGGAGGCGTGGGTGTAGCAGGATGTCAGACATTTGCAGATCTTGCTGGGGCTCAGCTTGGAGGGTTTAGGGATAAGGGTTGACGACCTTAAACTCTAAACCCTGAAACCCTCGAGCCCTGCTCGAATTTGCTGTGGCATTGGCATGCTGGAATCGTGGCCGTCAAGTTTTGGGTGCAGGGCAGTTCAGCCTTTGAATCACCCGAAAAGATAAGCAACCTTAAGCAGACCCAAAACACGAAATCACACCAAAAAGCCCCCAAGATCCCTGAAACCCCCATCGCCACATTGATGACATGTGAACCTTCCTAAGCTCCCAGGGCTGGGACGTGGACTCCACGGGAGCCCGGATCGCAGGGAAGTCCAAAGCCAAGGAGTTGCAGAAAGCCGTCAACGAAATCATCGTCAAGGCCAGGGGAGAAGGGGAGAATGTCATTTAACCTCCTTAACCTCACTGAGCACCTTCGTCTCCTTGCCTCTTATGGAGCTTAGAGTACCAGGCCAACAGCTGGTTCGGCTGAGACTTGGCGCCCTTTTGGAAAGCTCAGGCGGGAAGGCAGAGCACGATAGAGTAACATTGCCTACAGTGCAAGGCATCGGGAAAGTTCGATCCCGGACTAGCCCCTACTACAAGCCCGGATTAGAAGGCGGTCGCAGTTTTCAACCCTTTCGGAAATGGCTTGCAAGGGCCCCGCGTTAGATGAAGCTTCAGTCGACTCCTCTTCCGTTCCCGCTCTCATATCCTCTCTCATCCTCTCTCATCCTATATCCTCTCTCATCCTATCCTCTCGCATCCTCCGCTCTCATCCTCTCTCATCCTCTCTCATCCTCTCTCATCCGCTCTCATCCTCTCTCATCCTCTCTCATCCGCTCTCATCCTCTCTCATCCTTTCTCATCCTCTCTCATCCGCTCTCATCCTCTCTCATCCTCTCTCATCCGCTCTCATCCTCTCTCATCCTCTCTCATCCTCTCTTGCTCTCTCGCCACAGTCGGCAACGCTCTATCAATCTTTACGGAGCATCAGAGCCCTTACCCCGCTTTGTAGGGGCGAGGGGGCTGAGAGAGCTGTGTGACACTTCTTCACAGCATTCGCGCCGGATCTGGACGATGTTTTTGCGACTTCACAGGTCGAAAAACAATCATTCCGTCACCTTGTTGCTTGTTCGTTTATTGACACTCCTGTAATGTTCAGGGCTTTTTTGTGGTCAGATCAGGCATCGATTTTGCCTGTTGGTCGGATCAGGGCTCCGGATTTCCTACTGGTCTCAGAAAAAACTTATCGGCCGGGCCTGTCAAAGGCGGGGTTGCTACAAGAAGTAGGCCCAGTTCGCCGTTCGTGGCGCGGCGGTTTGTAGAGTTCAGAAAGTCCAGTCGGCCGAATATTAGAAAGCACCACCATTGGAATGCATTCGCGCAGTTGCCTCCCGCAGAGCGCCCGGGCACAGAAGGTGCCTGCAATCGCTTCGCTTGGCAATCTGCCAAAGCTAAAGTAGCTAGAGTGCGTTTGCTTGGCAACCCTCTAGTGTTGTTCGCGATGATTCTTTGACTTTTGCCAGAGCTGGAAATCAGATCCTGGTGATCGCAATGCCGACCTCGAAGCAGAGCGCTTCCGACGTGTCAGGTCCAGTCAGCAAGGTCCCGTAGGAGGATCAAGCAGACATCGAGCACGGCAAAGCATGGAGCAAAAGGCTGTGCAGTTTTTCGGAGCCCGAGTGCCAGCAGAGTTTTCAGGATGTATGCAGCTTTGAGGGTGGCACATCAAGGCACATCACATAGTCTGACTCCGTGGATGCATCTTCTGTGGCACACAACGGCGCGGTTGCAGCACGCGTGAAGCATGCTATATTCAAGGGTTGATCTGCAGCAAGATTTGGACCGAGGTGCCTGCAGCTACTCCGCTTGTTCCCTTTGTCTTAAAGGGCCCCCCGCCGAGCTGCACCAAGGAGGACCCTCGACGAACCTTTGTGGACTGCTACCAGCTTTGCTTGACTTACGTAGGCTATTCCGTCGAAAGGTCCAGCATCTAGCGCGACAATGAAGAAGAACAAAAGTCTGAAGAATCACCAAGCTGGCGAGATGTTGTGGACATGTTGAAACCTCTGAAGGGTCACCGGTCATCATACTCTTAGAACTGCTTCTTCGGGTGTCCAGGACCGCGTGAAAGCGCTGAAGTATGCAGCTGTGGTGCCACCGTCTGCGAAAAAGGCCAGTAGCAGTCTGCGTTTAGGAACCTTTTTATGATCCGGGACCTTCGCCGGAACAATCGAACAGCAAAGGCTCGCGTAGGCCTGTTTCCACCTCCAAGCTGGCTTGTCTAACATGTCTAAGATGTCGTCAGTCGATGTCAGTCGTGCAGATTTATGGATCCAACAGACATTCCTCCCAGTCGCTGCACCGGGCGATCGCAGCGCTGCCAACGAGGCAGAGGGCACACCAAGCTTTTGCCTTCATCTACTTCCCAAACGCGGGTTTCCGTTATTACCTGATGAAAGGGTTTGCCTTGTATCAGCAGCGACTCTCCAGGGAAGTGCCAAAACAAGTGCGGATTGTTGAATAAAGGGCCGGAGCGCATCGGCAAAAACACTTCGTTCACGGCCTGCTGGTCACATATCGCCAGTCTTCAGCTCGAGGCCACGCCCTCGGGCCATCGATGGTGGGCAGGTCACGTGACAAGCCTGTCAATGAACAGAGCGTTAGCAAGTTTGTTTTTGGTTGTGCGCTTGTTCAAGAAGCTACCCTTACCAGAAAGGACTTCTACTCATTCTACTAGCTCAAGAAAAGGTATCCCCAGGCTGTGGTGATGCTGTTCGATGCTTCGCATGAGCGCGTATTCGGAGGATAGGTGAGACCTGGGTATTACCATTTGTCTGTAGTCCGGCTTTGTTTGCCGCATTTTCTGCCGACATTCAGTGCCCCCCTCTGCGTGCATGCGGAGCAAAACGGGTGCTCTAAAGACAGGGTGCCCTCAGTGTCTCACCTGCATTCGCAGACCGTCGGATCACTCGCGCCGGTCTTCGGGCTGCAAAACCGGATTTGGACTGCTGGATCGGGTTATATCGGGTTCGTGTTTCTTGGATTCTTCTTGCTCCGTGAAGGCTGTGTCTTGCTTGGTCGTAGAGCAGTGGCCAGACCTCTGCGGTTGTCTGTTCAAGCTCCACCAGGATATCAAGTGAGCAATGCCTCGACATAAACATTGAACACTGCTGCGAGCCTGTCAGGCCAGTCTCCTACAGTACCACCGTCGAAGCACTGCCGCTTCACATTGTCTATGCTTGTTGCAGATGGAAAGACCACCTAGTCGGCCATGCTTCGGCTTTCGAGATTTTTGTACGACCCTCGTCGGGACCTCAGCTGCGCCGAGCATTTTGAGGCTCGCAGTAGATTCACAGGACCACGGCCGCTGAGGTCGTGGCACCGTGATCATGTTCGGCAACCGCAAGGTCCGCTGCACCTAAGAAAAGTACTTGGCAATGGAGTTCGGTTCTTTGTGGGAGAAGTCTCGTGCAGAGGCACTTCTTTGTGTGTGATGTGTCTGCCTGTGTCTGCATGTTTCAAGCTTCCGCCTGCAGAGCTACGGCTTTATCGCCCCTGATGCTGGCGGCCCCGATATCTTTGTGCACAAGAGGCCAACGCAGAGCTTCAACGCAATTTCCTGAGACGGTTCCAGCCTGTTGTGACCTTTGGAAGCTTCTTGTCACTTCAACTTGTCAGGGATGTCCGCCGCGATGAACATGGAAGGTCCCGCAAGAGATTACCAGGTTAGCAGTGTGAGCACGGGACTGTCAGGCGAGTGGCCTTGAAGGAAGGCGAGCGCGTCGAGTTCGAGTTGCAGCCGGACTGAGCCCTTGTGTGCGATGGCTTTTGGATGCCTTGACCTCACGCTGTTTCCATTGAGCACGGTGTTTTACGGTGCTTGCAGGAACCCGGCAAGGATGGGCGGCCAGTAGCAGTAGATGTCGTTGCGGCGACCTCAGACTCGGCACTTTTGAAGACTCCTTGAAAGATGCGCTGAACAGTGTGCGTGAGCATGCCCTGTAATTGAGTATTCGACGTGATTTGCATGCAAAGATTCGGCACTCACATCCTTCGTGTTCGGACTCGGGGTTGGGCTTGGGCTTAGGCTTGTTTCAAGGGTGTCCTGCGTAGGTTCGAGGAACTTGGCATACACGGCAGCTTCTGTTGGAAGAACGATGACAGCAACCTCCACCACAACGGCTCCCGCAGTCACATGAGACAGCGTGGTTTGTGAGAGCCAACAAGAGGAACCCAGCCAATCCAACAGCTGCGATGGCAGCACATAGCAGGAATGTCAACAACAGCATTCTCATTACCGGCAGTACAAACAGTTTTAATGCTACGCGACCCGCCTCCCCGCCTCGGCCGGGGCGTGGGTCCCCTTCCAGGAATGCTAGCGTTTGGGAGGGTTGGGCCGGGGGGGGATGGGGCGGGGGTAAAGCAAGGTGGGTTTTAGCAGCACCGAAGAGGTGATGGGGTACACTGTTGTGCCGTCCCATACGGTCGGCCCCAAATTCCCCCTACTCCTGGCGAATCAGAATGGAGGTGGCGTACCTGCTTGACCCCCCCCAGACTCCTATGGCCAGGCCTCGCCGGATAAGACAGAAGCGAGGAAAAACAGCATCGATCACACATTGGCCAAGCAAACAATGTAAACACATAAATTCGGCAGGCAAGCCAGCAGGCAAAAGCTTCTAAAGCGTGCCAAGCCACGGGGCTTCTGGGGTGCTTGCGACTTGAGGTCATTCCTCCCTAGCGCAGAAGGCTTGGCGGCTGGAGTTGGATTTTTTCTGTGCGACATCAGCCCCTGCTAGTTGGAGCCCTTGGAGCCAGGTCTTCGTGCGGTGACCTCGCGACTGAAAAGGTGCATGCGATCATTGCGCAAGCTCCGCAGAGGCTGTGTGAGACAAGGCATCTCAAGCGTCTGAGTACGTTGTTGCATGTCATGTGCGACAGTTCGGACTGATCAGCTTCAGGAGGTGGTGCCCTGCTGCGAGCGCGGGCAGCTAGTTGGAGGAGCAAAGCAGAAAACAAGCTCTACAGGGTTCCAGATTTCTTCTGGCCTCCCTGCGAGCTATTGCGATCCCAGACTACGTTGCAGACCGCAGTGCGCTCGACCAGCATGAATCAGAAAAAAATCTTCGTTTGTGCGAAGTGCATGCTTTTGTCGGACATCAATGAAACCGTCATGGTCTCCGTGGTTTTAGCTGCTAGGCATCACTTGGAATCCATCTCGGACACACCTGAAATTCCGTGCCGTGTGATGAGTGACGTGCTCCCAGGGGTAGAAAGTTGATCTGGAAAGGCCTTCTACTCACGACGCGTGGCCCATGATCAGTTTCTACTCTAGTCAAGTAGGCCACACAGTGTCTTCTTCAGAAATTTCTGCCGGTACAGAACACACATGACTGTGAAATAGCAGTCGTATTCGCACTCGCCTCTTATGGAGCCCAGCCCTGAGCTTGACTAAAGTGTGCTGTCACGACTGTCACGGCATCAGAACTCGTCACGTTTGGTTCACCTGGGGCAGCTCAGGGCCTCGGTGCGCCGGGCTCGAGAGGAGGGCATTCCGGGAAGCATTCCGGCATGTTCCACGTGAATCTTACGGCAAAGACTGGAGCTTTTGGTTTACGGCTGTTTCCTGGCGAGGTCACCAAAGGGGGTGGTAGGGGCTTGAGGAATCTTGAGACGCCAGGAGCCGCTTGCATCGCCAAATAGTTCTCCACGCGCTCCAGAGGTGCGGCAGATTGCGGCAGCCAGTGTCACTGAGAGCGGAGTTGCGATGCGAGCCAGACGATGCCATACGATGCATAGGAAGCTTCCGCTGCGTTTCAGTGACACGGCAGCTGAAACAGCAGCAGAAGATGAACCTCTGAAGACTATGCACTTCTAAATTTTGAAAAGCCCCCCCCAGACTCTATGCCCTCTGAACTGTTGCCGCAGACCTTTCAGTCCTCGCACCTCGAGGCTGCGCAGGCCTTTGGAAACTTTGGAGCCACAGATGTTCTGCATTGGTAGGGCTGAGGGCCTTAGGGCGGCTCAGGGAGTTGGTGTTCTGGGTTCAGGGGGTGCCTTGGGGTCGGGAAAGATTTGCGAAGCTGGCGCAATGCGGGAGTCCCCCCACATGCCAGCGGAGGCCATTCAGAGACTGGTCTATGTGCGGGATGAGGCCTTGGAATGCCCTGCAACTCCAACTCAACGCAGCTTTGAGAGTATGGTATAGATTCATATTCATACTGGTAGGGTAGACTTGCAAGAACGACCTGGGCCTCGCAGAGTTTCAGGGTTTGCTGTAGGAGCCTCCACCGCTCTCAACGAGTTTGAGAGGTTGTACCAGCTCGGGAGAAGCTCATTGCTGCCCGTCGGACGAATGAGGCCAAGCTGTTGTTCGCAGTTTGGGGTTTGCTCTGAAAAATTTCAGCTTCTCAGGTCTTTCCTAGCTTTCAGGGGGGGCCCCTATGGGTCACACGTGGTCACGGGGGCTGCTTTTGAAGCATCAGACGAGAGTCTTGTCACTTTCCAGGCTGCAGGCTTCGAGGGCTTCGCGAGGTAGCTCGCTGGATCATCTGGGCAAGGTTCTACGGCCATAGTATGGTACGGTAGACTACCCAAGCTCAGGAGCAATCCAAGAAGTAGCAGAGCAAAGTAGCCACAGTCAAGGCCCATAGCCCCAAATCAAGGTTGAGCATCCATGTAGGGCAAACCTCAAACCCTCGAATCTTCAGCCGCATCACCTCAGCCTGATTGCAAAGACTCATGCCTTTTCTGGCAGGCTCTGGGCGAAGTCGGTCGCAGAAGGCTGCTGGGGTCCCGCTTTGCATACGTGAGCTGGGCTCCAGTTTGGAAGCCCTGGCAAAGATGCTTGGAGGTTTCGGCTTTTCGTGCTTTTCGCGGCACTGGCGTCTTCGGGATCTGGAGCAAACCCAACTTCTCTTTGATGCCATGTGTTTCCAAGCAGCGCATTGTAGCTCTGGCCGGGTGTCAGCCCCAAACCTTAATGCCAGTATACGAGCAGTTCACACTAAACCCACCCACCCACACACACACACACACTGGCACTCACGCACGCGCATGCGTTCGCGCACGCGCACGCGAACCCGCCAAGCCGTCTGCTTGACAAGCAAACCACTGCTCGAATCTGCTGCTTTCTAGGAATGGCACATAGACATGTATTTACGTTGATATTTTGA